GAAAATTAATATTCAATACAGTTTAAGTCTAACATGTAAATATTTATCATTTGTTTTCTATCTAAGACAAAATTTTCATTTAAACTAATCATGGATTTGTTAGAAAGAAATTTTATATTAAAGCCTTTATAGTTTACTTATAGTTAACAAGTTATGCTTTAAACCATCAACTAATAAAATATTTTCAATCATAAAGTATTTAGAGTTTCCAATTATACCTAAGCCCACAACTTTCCTTGTGGTGTTGTCTCCTAATATCACCTTGCCTCCTAACCTGGCCTCTAGTGTGATGAATTATTCCATATCACTAGTTATATGCCTTGAGCAACTACTGTCCAGGTAACACATGATCACCTGACCTTATGCTTTAATGAATGACATAAATTCGAGTTATGCTATGATGCATCCAATTTCGGCCTTCACACTAAATGTGTCATACGGTGGATAGTGTATGTGCGGACTATATGTCCTAACATGCCATAAGAGTAACACCTAACTCCAAGAAATGGGTTTACTAACCTATGCAGGTCATGGTACCTTCTCATAGGTTTAGGTGATGCATGCTGTGTTAAGGGGTTATACCATTGAGCTAATGTGGGTAATGGTTTATTGTTTTCAAGTGCAATGTTTTTTGCTCTTAAAATTCATTTTGATTTTTAGAGCTTGCCACTTCCAATTTTAATGTATGCTCTCTACTATCTAATTGAAATGCAAGTTCTTCTAATTCCTTAAATGCTTTTTCTAGTTCAATATGTGATGTTTTTTAAGGAATTATGTACATTAAATTGGTCAATATGCTTCTTATTTAATGCTTCAAACTCATCTAATAAAGTCTTATGATCGCTATCTAAAGTAGAGTGCTCAGTAATTAAACTAGTATACTCTTTTTTTAAAGCAAAAAATTTAGTATTAAGACTAGCATGCATTTACTTAAGCTTCATATACAAATCATGATTTTTTTTAGAAATAATAAATAATTTGTCATAAAAGAGTTGGCATACCTCATCTTGATTTGATTAATCAAGATCATTGTTAGCCATAAGACACATGTTTGTTACATCCTACTCTACTTCTTCTTTTGCCAATTTTGAGGTAGAGTCGGCCCAAAAAGCTTTTTTATATCTTTTTCTTTCCCCTCTTATACTTTGGCTTCTCTTCACCCTTCTCCTTATTTGGGTGAGTCTTCACATTGGAAAAATCACCTTAGAAGTGGCTTTGTTTCCTGCACTCTAAGTAAATTGTGCCAGACAAAATTTAGTAGTTTTGTGGCTTTTACCTTTGTTTTAGTTATTTTGATGATTCCTCTATTTTCTTTTTAGAAAGCTCTTGAATTGGCACATCATCAAGGTTATTTTATCATCCTCCTTCGTTATAGAATTATCATTATTGGAATCATTCACTTTTAGTGCTACAGTTCTCTCCTTTTTCTTCACTCTTGCATCACTTTGCCTTTAACTCACTCCTTGCTCATAGGTAATCAGTGACCCAAGAAAATTATCATTTTTTTTAAACAATGCAAAAGCAAATGGATTAACAGAACAAAGAAGGAAAACCTAGTTACAAGCTAAAACGGTAACATCTCATCCTTGATTAAATTAATCAAGGGATTCGGAATATTACAAAAAGAAAAGCTATCACAATAAAACTAGCATCAATAGCTAGTTTAGCACAAAAATCTGTTACTTTATTACATTCTCTATTGACATGGTGAAAAATGACCTTATTGAAGTCACTTAAGAAGTGAAGCTCTCTAACCGGCCAACTGTCCAAATTCCAATCAACCTTCTTCAAAGAATCTTGTAAGAATGTAATTACATTCACATTATCACTTTCAATGATAATGCCACTACTTTCGAACATCCAATTTTTTAATACCTCTCTAATATCCACAATAGCCTCCATCTCTAAATGAGCCACATCCCAATGAAATTTCTTTTTACCAAAAGCCAATAGAAGTCTCCATCTATGGTCTCTGAAGATACCTCCAATACCACCTATATTAGAGCTCAATAAAGCAGCGTCCACATTTATCTTAATCCAATCTAGTGGTGGAGAATGCCAAGAGTGAACGGACTCCCTAGGAAGATTAGCATCCCAGCTTACTAGAATCGGACAGGACTTCAACACAGCAAGGGAAATCACATTAGCTGCAGTAATTGAACATGGTAGAGCATTCTTACCATGCTTAACAAGATTTCTATTTTTCCAATTCAAAAATACAGCTACACAGTAAATTCTAGCCAACCCAAAATTCTGTCGAGATCACCCCCTTAGCTGCAGCATACAATCTTCCAATGATTGAAAAACTGGTAGGCCAAATCCCCATTTACGGATGCATTCTAGAATTTCCTGTAAGTACTTACAATGAACAATTATATGCTCATAATTTTCCACACTTAGACATCCTCTAGCACAGCAATCTTCTTCAGCTAGTCGTCTAAACTTCAGAAAATGGTTAGTGGGGATAGCAAACTTATACAATCTCCACCAAAAAATCTCTACATTATAATTGAGATTTAAACTCCTAACCAATGAAAAAAAACCATCATTATCACAAATACCTTTCCTTCTCAGAACTTCCTCATAAGCCAAACCACAAATGGATTTACCAGAGAACTTAAAGATCGTTTCCAGCAAATCAGCCTGTAAAACATCCATCTTCACCTCTCTGATAATGCAAATCAAGTCTTCATTGAAGTACATAGCTAATTTAGCTACATCCCAATCTCCCGAATCAGTAAAAAGCTGATGAAGATACATATTTTCCAAGCCAATACAGTTCAAAAAGGTTGGCCACTCATTAAGACATTGGTTCAAAAGCCAGATGTCATTCAAAACAGAAATTCTCTTTCCATTTCCCACCTTCCATCTGACAATTGGCTTCAAAAATTTTCCTCCCTCGTTTAGAATTTTCCATACATTTGATGTACTTTTCATTCCACTGTCATTAAGCACATTATCTCCATACTTGGCCAACATTACACGGTGAAACAGGGTATCATGTTTCTGAATAAAATTCCATTCTATTCTTGCTCGCAGTGATCCAGTTTTCTCAGAAAAGGACTGAATACCCAAGCCTCCTACATTTCGTGGATAACATATATCCACCCATGAAACATAATGAAGACCTCTTTTCCCATTTTGCTTGTGCCAAATAAAATTTCTTCAATATTTTTCAATCTCCATCATCACCTTCTTAGGTACTAAAGAGTGTGTAATAGCATAATTGGAAAGCGAGAGTAAAGAGGATTTAATGAGTATGATTTTACCTCCCAAAGAATGAGACTTCCTTCCCCATACATTTAATCTATCAATGATTCTACAAAGAAGGTCTTGAAAATAAGCAATTCTCAATCTTTTCAATGAAATCTATATTCCCAGATAATGTAGATTCTTAACCACTTTGAAACCCAAAATATTGGCCACCTTCTTCTTTCCAGCTTTTTTCACAAACTTCCCAAAAATAATTTGAAATTTGTCCACATTCACCCTTTGTCCCGTCCAATTGCAAAAAGCCTTCACAATGTGCTTCATTAACCGAGCCAATGAAGTAGAGACCCTGGAGAACAGCATAACATCATATGCGTACAGAAGATGAGAAATCCGTGGACCTCTGGGAGATACCTGGATACCCAAAGAATGTCCCCTTTGCTCAATACTACTTGTCAACAACTGATAGCACAAAATAAACAGGTAAGGTGATAATGGACAACCCTGCCTAAAACCACAATGTGCATCAATCCATTTGGAATACCTCCCATTCATACTAATAGAAAATCTTGCATTCATCACACATTCCATAATCAATTTGATGAAGAAAACTGGAAAGCCATAACAATGAAGAATTTGATTCAGCGTTGGCCACCCCATACTATCATAAGCCTGTTCCATATCCAGTTTAACAGCCATCATACCTTGCTTGCTTTTAGAAACTTTGAATTTGTTGAAAATTTCTTGAGCCAACAAACAATGCTCGGTAATTGATCTACCCGGTATGAATGCAACCTGCTCCTCAGATATCAACCTTGGAAAACACAATTTCAGCCTATTTATAAGCATTGTAGCCATAATCTTATACGTGCATTGACAAAGACTAATAGGCCTATAGTTTGAAGGTAGGACCGGGTTCAAAATTTTAGGAATAAAGAAAATAATCATGTCTTTCCATTCCTTATGCATCCTTCCAACCTTAAGAAACTTATTCATAGCATTCCAAGTAGTAACGCCTACCAGATTCCAGTAGCATTTGAAAAATGAGGCCATAATCCCATCAATGCCGGGTGATTTATATTGCCTTGCTAAAAAATAGCATTTCTGCATTCATTGAAGCTGAATTCAGAACTAAGGACAGCAGCACCCATCTCATCTAACTTCAAGTTATCATTCAGACTTGGCCATCCAGATAACTCACAAGTTTTATCGTTCCATTTATTTTCAAAGAACTTCACAAAAACTTGTTCAATCTGATCTTCTTCCACCAGTACATTGTTGTTTGCATCCTTTATTTGCCCAATCCAATTAGTATTCCTTCGACCGGATGCATAATTATGAAAAAAGTTTGAATTTGAATCCCCTTCCTCAAACCATCTAACTTTCGCTCTCTGATTCCACCATACAGCAAGTCTCCTCAAGGTAATATTCAGTTCATGAACTTTCTGACGAAGAATAAGAAGATCTTTGCATGAAAAATTAATCCCCAAAGCCTCTCTAGCTTGAAGTTCCAAGATGTCTTTTTTCAACTGTTCTTTCAGCTTCTCCATATCTCTGCATTTGCTTCTGTTCTATAAAAAGAGGGCTCTTAAAGTCCTCCTAAGCTTTCTACTAAGCACTTCTTCCTCCTCACCAAAATCATTCTTCTGCCAAGAGCTCTTAACAATACTCCAAGAGGCCGGATAGGACCTCCAAGTGTCTTCAAATCTAATAATCTTATTCCTCATGGTCTTCTTCCCATCCATTTTAAAAACAACAGGACAGTGATCCGAGGCCACCCGTGCAAGATGCTAAACTTTCACAAATGGTACCAAATGCAAAACAGCAGAATTGAGCAGACAACGATCAAGCCTCTCCCAAATTCTGGAGGAACCTTCCTTATTGTTACACCAAGTAAAACTTGGTCCAACAAAGCTTGCAACATGAAAGTCAAGATTAGTCAAAAACTCCCTCATCTCCCTTGCACCTTTGGATAATAAGAACCGCTTTCCTCCCTTCTTCTCCTCTTTGTTTAATATACAATTAAAATCTCCTCCCACAATAGCAGGACCCGAATCCTTAAAGCAAGATTCCAACAGGTTCCATAGGCCACTTCTTTCATTATGACTCCTACTACCATAGACTGTAGCAATTTTCCAAATTCCCAGAGAATGAGTAGAAAGAGATCTAACCACCACCTATGATGAACTCTTCTCAACTTTAAAGAACACCACTTTTTTATTCCACAAGACCATGATACCACCAGCCAAACCATTAGCTGGATAATGAAAGAAGTCCCAATCCTTCCCAATAAAGAAGTCAGCATCACTTCTATTAAAACTAGACAATTTGGTTTCCATTAAACCAACAAAACTAACTTCATGATCTCTAACAATTTCTTTAAGATACAAGGAGGCCTCTTTTTTCCTTGCCCCCCTACAGTTCCAAAAAACCAAAGAGGTTATTAAATAATCAATGGGGAGCCACCCCTACTATGCACGGGTATTTATTTCCTTATCAGAAATTTCTTTTACCTGATCCAACAACCTTCTAGGAAGAATTTCCTTATCAGAAATTTGTCCTGTTTCAGTCTGTAACATTGATACAGCATTATTCTTGCCATTCCTTCCAGCCATGGTCAAATTACCATTCCTTATTCTTCTATTTTTAAATTTTACATGTATCCAAGGTCCATAATCTCCATCTTCACCTCTCGATTCCATCATACCTTCCTTATTTTTCCCAACCTCTGCCCTGTTACCATCTTGTTCAGCAGTCTTCTTTCTCACAATATCAGGACAAATCTTACTATCATGTCCTACCTTTCCACACTGATAGCAAATTGAATCAATCTTCTCATACTCTATTTTCTGAAAAAATCGTCCAGCTATTTTATCCACCCATATACCATGAGGTAAACTGTTTTCCATATTCAAACAAACACATACCCGGGCAAATTCACGTTTCCCCCATTTAAAGGAATTTCCATCCAATATCATAGGGACGCCAACTCTCGAAGCAATACGAATAATGTTCTCCTCATCCCAACAATATAAAGGTAAGCAGGGCAACCGAATCCAAATAGGAGCCGAAATTCCCTTAAAAGATTTGGGATCAAAGTGAGGAGACCACTTGTCCATTCCCACAATGTAACCACCAACAAACCATGGGCCACCGCTAAGGACTTCATCCATTGCTTCCAAAGATTTGAAAGAACAAAGAATCCAATTTAGACCAATCGACGTCATGTGGAAGTTACCAAATTTTCTCCACTGCTTCCTCAGTTCCATGCTACACAGCGGAAAAGAAACTCTATCTCCCAACACCTTAACCACCAACGAGTGTCTTAAGATTTCTGAATTCAACACTTCTTTCTCAGCATTGAGCTTAACCGCTATCCCATCTTCCAACAATTCCGTGATCAACTTATCAGTAGTTATCTTAATATGTTTCATTTTCTGCCAAGCATCTTGAAAACTATTGATTTTTGAACTGGTCACCTCTACGGAAAACAACTTAGCAGCCTCCTAATTACTTTCCATATCCTGAATCTTCTTAGGAATTTCAACATTCATCTCCTTATCAACATTATCAATATCTAATGCCAACGATCGTCCCATAATTTCTTCATGATTAACAATAAATTTTTTAACTTTCAAGATCGCACCAGAAGACACGGGTGCATCCGGAATCTGATCAGTAGAGATCCCATCCCTTCCTACTTCTTGGACATTGTCAGAACACCGATCAATAGCTATCTTCTTGCCTTTCCCTTCGACAGCTTCTTGACGAACCAGAGGTCAAAAACCCTCCTTAATAACAATTCCACCACTAACCTTCCCATCACCATGAAGAACACCAAACATCCGAGGGTTCGTCATGATCCAAACAGCCAAAGATGCCGATCATCCGACCAATGATCGACAAAAATGCACGATCAATCACACGCGCAAAGCCCGCGAACAAGAAATTTGAAAAAATAGTCCTTTCTCTCTCTAGAAAAACCGAGAGCTTCTCTCTCTAGCTAAAGATGAAAAAAATATACTTCGGTTTCAAGAAAATTATCAATGGAATAAACATTTAAGTCTTTAGATCTAGTGATTGCAGTTATCTTGGCATCATAAGAACTAGATAAATAACATAGAATTTTATTACCTTTTTAAAAATTTGATAGTTCTTTACTTGGTGAATACAAGGATATTACTATCTGGGTGAACCTAGTGTACATTTCAGATACAGTGTCACTAAATTTCATGTGAAAGAATTCATAGTCCTGTAGTAGTATGTTTATCCTAGATTATTTAACTTCACTAGCTCCTTTATAGGTGATACATAACCTATCCCAAATCACTTTCTCGATAGTATATGTAGAAACTTGCATATATTCTTTGAATTTTAAAGCACAAAAGAAACGATTCAACCACTTAGCATTTAACTATGAGAGTTCCATATCCTCACTACTCCATTCAGTAAATAGAATTTCAATTTTGACACTATTAACTACATGCATTGGAAGTGAATAGCTATTTTGAATCATATGGCTAATTATATAGTTAATTGATTATAAAAAGGTAGACATGCGTATTTTGTAGAAATTGAAAGATATATTTTAAAATAGTGGTGGACATGTTATAGAATAACTCTCTGCAGTATTATGATTAACAAAATAAGTCAGTGATCCATTTTTCAAAACCTTTCTAAAACCTTATTTTTGAAATCCTTCTCTGATACTACTTGAAAATTCTTAAAGGTTCTTAAACCTTATGAAATTAGCACAAGGCTCACTAAGAGAGGGGTTAAATTGGTATTTTAAAAAGTTTTCTTAACTTAAAAAACAAAAATAATAATATTTTTGAAAAACTTTTCAAAAATTAAAAATATCAAATCCTAAATGATTAAGAAAGAGACAAATTTTATCAAAAATATTAAATTTACTATGATGAAATTTTGATTTATGTGATAGAGTAATAATCAACATTTTTCCAAATTGGTTATTAATGAAAATGAAATGCAAGAAATGTAAAAGTGCAAAAAGGAAAAAAATACACCCTAGATTTTTATAGTGGTTTGATTAATGTTAACCTACATCAGATCCCTAGAGTCCTCCACTCTGAGTATTGCACTAACACTAAGTGACTCTTTTTTTGCTTAATCAAAAAGGTGAAGAAGCCCTTACAGACTCATTTTAACTAAACCTTTGATATGACGGAGTGCTGTATGCTATGTCACCCTCTTGATGATGGTAGTAGACCTTGACTTATGTTTCTCCCTCCTAGAGAAAGTAGAGAACCTCAGCTCCGTTTTCTCCCTCTTGGAGAAGGCAAAGAACCTCGAGCACAAGACTAAAAATCCTCTCTCCCTATAGAGCTTACAAAAGACTCCCTAAGGCCATAGGAGGAGCAAGGATACAGCTAGCCTAGAGTAACCGTGTGATCCCCTCACACTACTTCTCCCTCATACTCAAGATGACCTTTTCCTTCCTCTCTCAAATCCTGATTTTCTTCTCAAAAGCTCCTCTCTCGAAGCTCCTTCTTCAGTTACATGTTTCTCTCTTTCTATCTAAGAAAATCTTAAAATATATCTTAAGTATTAGGGTTCAAAAAATCTAAAATTATTTCAAGTTAGCTATCATTATTCATACAGTATGAAAATGGTTCATACAGTAAGATTAGTTTAAAATTAGTCCATTCAATATGATGTAAACAGTCATTCAAACAAACTATTAAAACTTTTATGAACACATCATGCAATACGATCAATAGATCATCCAGTATAATCTATTCTATTTGTATGAGATGATTCCTTTGACAACTAAAAATTGTCTCTACCAATCATCCCTTACTTGTGGGTCTCCAAAAGGATTCTACTTATGGGAAACAGAATGCAAATGATACGACTGCACTATCCTGTAGGACAAAATGATCATAAGCTTTTACACTTGATATAAGCAGGCCAATGGGATGACAAATGAGATTATACATATGAATAACCATGGAGGATATAAGGTTTAGCCTACACATCTAGATGGATAATAATATGTATAACCCAAGAGTCATGAGATTTCTATCATTCGATATATCAGCTAGAATGGGGTTTATTTGATGTGGGGATTAGTTTCCCATTGGCATAAGCTCCTGTGGTTAATTACATCCTAGGCCTCAACCTAGGAAAACTCTCGATTAAGGATGATATATTATTCTCTTCTTAATTTAGTGTACAGAGATAGTTCATAAGTTATATTCCGAAGAGGATAAATTCTTCTCTTTATCCTTAGTGATGATTAGAACTTTTTAAATGAATAAATATATCATTGAAATTTTGTGTTTAAAATATCAAAGATTAAATTCACTATCCTAGGAGAAATAACAAATTCAGAATCCATCATAAGTGAAAAGAGACACACGGAGGGATGTACAATCTGGACTTATGCTTGCCTGGAGTGAGCTACTAGCTAACATCCTAAACCCAATCAATCGCCATATATATATGAAAAATAAGAAGGCTCTATCCTAAGGAATCAAAGATTTTTTATTCGGATGTTTAAATCAGGGATATATAAAATATGTAAACGAATATATCTAACGACATGTATGATGCATGAAACGGATGCAAAAACAAAAATATTTTTATATCTACTGAAAGATAAGGTGGCCAAGCTCCACAACAACATGCTTGGATTTCTACACATATGAATGGAAAAGACTTAAAAATGACTATTTATTATCATCTGACTCTAAGTATATAATATAAAATTCCAAAGAGAATATCTTACAAAGAAGGAAGGATAATCTTTTGGAGCCCGATATGTGTGTATAAACAATCACATTTAACCTTTTACAAGTCTTTGAAACTAAAACATACATAAATATGATGAAACCGTTACATGAGGTCATAAATATATTCTACATTGAATCTTCACTTTTATAAGCAACCTAGATACATTCTACATTGACATTTTCAATTGAGCAATGTTGATATAAGGCATGTATGTGGGCAAGGTGCGCTGTGAAGTAAAGTGTATAAAGATCCATGCATGACTTCTAGAGTATAGAAAATAAATAAACACATCGAGGATACCCTCCAGGCAAGATACGTGCATTACACAAAAGTAGAAAATCATTCTAACGGTGCCCACTTTGTGTGGGAAAGCAGCGACGCACATGGCACAAATAAGTGGCTACACTACAGGCCTAAAATGACCCTAATGGTCTCTACGGATCACAGAAGAGAGGGTATCACACCCAAAATAGAAAACACATCCTAATGGTGCCCACTTCATGTGGGAAAACTATGATGCACATAGCATAAATAGGCAGACCTACACTACTAGCCTAAGTTGACCTTAAGGGTCTCTAGGGCTCATAGAAGGGGGAAAGCCTTAGCATATAAGGCCAAGGCTTCGTTAGTGGATTAACCTATGGCCATCTAACTAAACATTCTAGAATATATATTAAAATAAAAGAAGTTAATAAAGTCTATATGATGTGTAAAAATTTGACATATAATAAGGGTTTTTCAAGTAGTAGGGATTATACCTGACCATGGCGTACCCACTCAAAACCTCTCAAGCAAGCAAATTATCCATTGATTCTTGACCATGCAATACCCAATGTACCTCATAATTAATAAAGTAAGAGCAAACATAGGGTGAGCGTAGAGGCTATTCAAAAATAAATACAAATAAATAATAATTTAAATAATAAATAATTCAATCTTTTCACTTATCTAACACATATATATATCACCATAGAATATAAAGTATAAAAATAATTTTGTTTTTATCCTAAGGCATGAGAAGTATTTATTCAAACCACATAAAAAACCCACTAGCACATGATGCAATGATTCACTTTCATAGAATATGGAAGTTAATCAAACATAGAGCATATAGAAGTCTAATGAAACACATGAAAACTCAATAATATGGCATATGTATCTATATGTAAAGTAGTGTGATAGTTTACCAACATGGAACATAAAGAGGGATTAGACATGAAGTATTCTGATAAAGAAAGTTGATGAAGGGACACATTATATATTAAGCATATGAAAGACATGTTTATATGAAGTATAAAAGAGAGGCATACATGAATTGTAGAAGAATCCTTTAACATGAATAAAACATCTTTCAATTATTTCCATATATGCTTGTGATCAAAACATGAAATTAATGAGGCCATATAGCATGGCCATTTGATATCACAAACACACACACACACACACACACACACACACAGAGAGATATATATATATAAAGAATTATGCATGGAACATGTGAGAATTTACTAACAAGTGTATCAATGTTTCTACAATGCAATCTCAGGTATACGTGTGGAATGGATCAACCAGTTTATAAGTTCTATTTTGAAGCCAGATATTCACATAACATTCAAGTTTAGTCCTATAAATAAAAAAATGATTTAGTATATTTAACAATATTTAACACCAACATGAT